GCCTCAGTGGTTGAGTGCCTGGTACCCCCCCACCAAAGTTCCTCCTGAATGTCTTTTACTTAATACCAGCAATTGCCAACTTATGTCCAGTGTCGTTTCCTCTGTAACCCTGCTGTTAAAAACCCAACTCTAAGATTGTTTTCAAGCCAATTCCAGATAACATAGGTTTTGATGTGTGAATAATTCAGTTGGTGTTGAAAGATGAATTTTTAAAAATTTTTTTATTTAATAGCTATAATGTCACTAACATACTCAAACATTTCTCCCAGTTTTGTCTTGGTATCTTATTAGTATTTGGATTTTTTTTTTTAATTTTAGAGTGAAATAAGGCATATTCTTTATAGTTGCTTTGATGTTTTCTTGATCTCTTTTCATTGATAGCTCCCTATTCTTTTATGTTTTTTTTTTTTACTTTTTAATCTTTATTGAATTGTTTTGTTCTGTTGAGTCTCCCACAATATGGGTTTGCTTATTTGTCATACCATGTTTTTCTGTTCTTCATATTTCCTGAAAATTGTTGTTTTTTTTTCATTTAAGATTGTTTATATCTATTTTGGGTAAATAGATGAGAAAAAATTTAATTGTAGAAATAGCCTGACCTGCCGTAGGTCAAACATATTTTACTGCTCCTGTTTGGTGGTCTGTGAAGATGCAGTTCTAGATCCAGTCCTTTTAGTAATAAATGATACTAAATTATTGGAATTTGTTGAAATGGGGAGTTTGTTTTCCTTTTTATTTTTTTAAATTTTTATTTTGTAGTGCTGGGGTTCAAACCCTAGGCTTTGTGCATTCTAAGCAAGCTCTTGTCCCTGAGCTACATTTCCAGCCCTTGTTTTGTTTTTAAAGTTCTGATTCACTTTGGGAGAATTTTTATTTTCAAGATTTTGTGTGGTTTAAACAAAATGGATGAATATTAGTTTATTTTTATGCTCATAAGTATTGTTCTGTTTTAAAGGTACTATATACATTGCTTATTTGATAGACAATATATTGCCTTTCAAATTGGTCTTGGAAAAAAAATAACAAAAAAAATCTAAAAGAATTTGTCACACTCATTTTTCTTAGTGTCAAATGCCTAGGGAACAAACAGAAAGGATCCTGGAATTTTTTTAGAAAAAGTAAAGAAAAAGATTGTTATAACTCTGATTTTATACTTTTGTAAACATAAACGAATGTAATTATTTTAAGGATGGAATGTTTTTTGGGATTACTTATACTTTTGACTATTGACATGAAATCATATATTGTTAATTGTCAAAAAAGAATACTGTATGTTCTTTTCCTTAACATTCAGTTAAGGCACACTGAAAATTACTTAAGCACACTGGAATTTCTCCAGTTTTATTAAATATTATGTTCTTTGATCTTTGAATTTTGGAATGGTTTTTATCTGCATAAACTACATTGGTGTGTAATTGAAGTTACAGATTGGCTTGCCTTTCTCAATTTGAAATACTTTTGAAATGAGATTTTCTTCCTCCTTTGATTTGGATAGTAATCTTGTTTCTTTTTGTATTCAAGTGGGAATCAGAAAACATAGATAGTCTATGTACATTTGTTTATGTGATATTGCATGTTTGGTTGTAATAAAGTATTTCTTCCTTCAAAGGAGGAAGATGATAAAAATGTGTTTTGTCCCAGGGGTAGAATGTTGTTCTTCCGTAAATGACTTAACTATTCTAAGCTTTAGTTTCCTCTAAAGAAAAGAGGGAATTAATATTAATACCTATTTCATCCTGTGTGGTGGGAATTAAAAAAAGTTTTAGGAGCAGAAACAAATTTGCAAAAGGGTGAAGAGATTGTAATAAAGGAAGTCAGAGAAGTTTGGTGCTGAAGTCAGAAAAGGATTATTGCTTAAGGGGACTCTTCCTGCACACAGGGTGTTTTGAGCGTGGTTGTTTGGCAGAGGGAGGTCATGGACCACTGTGCAAGGGGCAAGTGGAGGTATCTGAGATTGTGGAGACACCAATAATTTTTGTCTCTCTCAGCCTGGAAGGAAGAAATAAAAGGAAAGTTGGAAATCTGTGTGATGAGATGACATCCTCTTCATCTTTTCCAGATCACTGCATTAGAGATATTCACCTTGAAGCAATTAATTAATATTTACAGCAGCTACTGTGGGGAATGGGCTTGGTCAAATTAGGGATGGAAAGGAGAAAGAGGTGACTGAACCTGATGAGTTTTGGGGTTCAGTGGTACAGCAGAGAGTGAAGGAGGCCCTGAAGAGTTAGCATATGATGAGGAGCCCGAAGAGTCTGGTCCTGGTTAATAAGTTGGCAGAGTCATGCTCTGGGTTTAAGGAGTGGGAGAGGCCAAGTGTCCTGCATTTCTTCAAAGAACCTAAATCATTATTGCTTAAATGAGGATACTTTGATGTTTTCTTTAAGCGATTGTCTTTTTATATATATTTTCATTTTTTTAGTTATAGACGGACACAGTATTTTATTTTTACGTGGTGCTGAGGATCAAACCCAGTGTCTTACGCGTGGTAGGAAAGCACTCTACCTCTGAGCCACAATCCCAACCCTAAGCAAGTGTCTTAAAATGTTCTTGCTTGACCTATGCCTAGATCTGTTAAGTTCTGAATGTATGCATTATCTTTGTTTAACTTTTGGCTGTGGCTAATAAAACCAGGGTGTCTTGGATGCCGTGACACATGCCTATAATCTCAGTGACTCAGGAAGCTGAAGTAAGAGGATTGAAAGTTTGAGGCCAGCCTCAGCAACTTAGTGAGGCTCTCAGCTACTTAGCAAGACTTTGTCTTTAAATAAAAATCAAAAAGGACTGGGGAGTAGCTTGCACCCTTGGGTTTAATCCCTAGTACCAAAAATGAATGAGTGAAATAAACAAAATAAAAGGAGGATCTCTTTTTTTTCCAACTCAAGGGCTTGGTGAAGTCACTTAGCTTCTTTACATTTCCATAAATGGTCTTCGTTTCTGTTCACTTTATCCTTCCACAATAAACATAGATTTTTTATGGATTTTTTATTCATATAATTATTTGCCCTTTTAATTATCTACTAGTCTACATCTGATTGACTCTTAACAGTCTTCATTAATAATCTGCCTGTACTTTAATTTTTAAAAAATTCTTTCATGATATACACAAAACCCTCAGATAGAGGGGTACAGAGATCAATGATGTGCTGAACTTTTCACCACTGGTTGTTCCTTTTCTTTTCTTTTTTTGGTGACAGTTCTGCCTTTGAACACTAGGTGGGACTAAGAGATGACTTGTTTTGCAGTGGGCTTCACAGCCTCTCACTTTTGAATGAAGTGTTGTTTGCTACTGGGAGTGTTTAAGTAAAATAGGTAAAAGTGGGCCTATTTTTATATTCTCTATTGAGATGGCTTTCTTGTTTTAAAATAACTTTGATCAACATATAGATAGTAAGATCTTGTATAACACTGAGGTAGTACAGGAGTGAGTGGCCATAATAGCTCATGGTATTTTCCTTAATTATTATTTAAAGAGAAAAACCAATAAAATAAAAACAGAGTTATTAATATTTAATGTTCTTTAAAGGAATCTTCCTGAGTCTGGTAGATAATTTTTAAAAAGTACTCTACATTTGTATTAGAGTGAGAAGGAAAGAATCAGACAGTTGTTATATATTTATTATTTTTTCATTTTTATTGAATCCATATGTAAATTAGCATCCTTTTTTAGAGTAAAGACAATTTGTCATTAGTAATAATCCATAACCAAAGTGAATATTTACAAAAACATTAGGGTAGCTGGAAATAAAGCCCCATAACCCTGTTTATGTAGCTCATAACAATGCA